CTGAGGATTCAGACTGAAGGGGCTTGAGGAAGCGGAAGCCGAAAAAGGCAATGCTAGTCCCAGGTTTGATAGTGCGAGGTATGATTTCTATCCCTTTTCCTTGTGAGCCTGTTTTCAAAAAGGATTTTAGCCTTGAAAATGTTTTAAAGAAAAGGATTGGTTTGTGAAAGAAAATGTTTTGAAAACTATGGCTTGTTTCGTCATGGAACCTCATGGCTTGTCCAGTCATGGGGCCCGCAGCTTGAGTAGTTTGTGGGGTCGTATTAATGATTTCAAAATGTTAATGAATGATTTCTTAATAAAGAGATCTTGTGAACTGGTAATAGAGTCTATTGCTGTAAGCCTAGATAGGATGCAGAGAGTGCATCCTCGGGGGCAGAACCCGAAACTCGGTCCGGGTAGGCGAGGCACTTGGTTAGGTGAGTAATTTGTACTAATTACTTGCTGAAGCCTGTAATATGGTGATTTTACATTTATTTCCTTTGAGAAAAATGATGTGAGGTTCTGGCTATCTGTTGGAACTGAATGTCTATCTATTTATGTACCCCATTCATTTATTTACTTGCACTTTATCTATTTATTTACTTTACGTCTTTGTAAATAACATCCTACTGGGCCTTTCACTCACGTTTTATGTTTCAAATGTATTAAACCCCTCCCAGGAGACTCTAGGAGCGGGGCACTGTAGCTGGATAATTGCTACGGAGCAGCTGAGTTGTGCTGCTGTTGGAATTAAGTGAGGATCGTGGACATCCTCTTGGACAAATGTAAGGAATTTGAGAAATTCTGTGAACTTATGTAATATTTGGATTAACTAGACTGTGGTTGATGTCTATTGTAATGATTATTTACATGAGCATGTATGTAAGATACTGTATGTCCTGTGGGGTGGAGCCCTGTGTGTCAGAGGCTCCGGGATTCTGTAATTTAATTATATTTTAATGCAGTTAAGTGTGGGGCCCAGTTAGGAATCTGTTTTGTTAATCCCTAATCGAGCTTCACGTCACCCACCCCGTTTGGGGGGCGTGACAATAACATTGCATTGGAGAGTATTTTTTACACTCAAATGCTAAATTTACAATTAGCACATCAATTATAGCATTGCATTAAAGATGTTCTAAGCCGGCACCATTGGTGCTAAGCACCATTCACTAATAGATTGTGGGTTCCTGTTGGGAATAGTGTCCTAAAAGCATGAGATGTAATAGGATATTTATTATTTATTTAATAAAAGAGTTTATTCATTATTTTATGTGTATATATTATTGAATATTTTATAAATATCACTGAAAATTTCATGATTATTTATATGACCTTAAATATTGTATATAAGTGTTATATGCGAGAGGATAATATTTAAGAATAATAATTAAAACGATGTTCGTAATGAATTTAATTAAAGTTCAAAATCTTTAATTAAAACTTACTAATTCATGTCATTCTCATTTATAATGGAATAATGTTATCCGCACTTTAAATATAGTGAGATATTGAATGAGTTTATTACACATAATGAGATTGTGTGGAACATGGACACACAATATGAATTTCTGATAACTTCCGTTAAGTATAGAAATTCTAATTGAGTCTACTTATGGTCATATATAGAATGATCTTAATCTTGAGTTATTAGCAGACTCCTATTTGTGGATTTTTGTCTTTTGACTTACTTAGTATGGGTTTCGAGATTGTTAAATCATATTTCTTGTATCTTGAAGACATGATGAAATCCATTCCTTCTTGAGAAAGAAGTAGATAAATATCTCCCTTGAGGGTTGATTCGGTACTTGGACTAGTAGGAGCTCCGATTCATGAATTTGTTCTATGAATTACTGTCAATTAGAGAATCAATGGTACTCAAGGATAAAGATGTAATTAGAGAGGTTAACGGATTTCACATAGCTCTAATTATGAATTACTTATGGATGATTGATCTATATGTAATGACTATATCAAATGAACACTTCACAATTGAGAAGTAATTTATATCTATAATTACGAGAGTGAAATTTCAAGTTTATAGTAGAATAACTTTTGAAATTAATAGAATTAATTAATTAATTAAAGAGTTTTAATTAATTATTAATTTTATTGGAGCTCAGAATTATAGGTTTATAAGTCCCGCGTCGTCTTTGTAATCTTACAAGACACTAAGGGCAAAATAAGAATTTTAGAATTATGGAATTCTAAATGAAACGCTCAAGATTAATTAATTATAAATTAAATAATGTGATTATTTAAATTTAAATTTTAGAACACACATGTAGAGGTGTCCACGTGGTGTACACTACCTATGCAGTGTGAATCCCTTTGAGATTCAGTTGCTTGCTCTCAATATATCCAATTGACTTATTTGATGAGTTGTCTAAAATGAAATTCAAATTAAATTAAGTTTGACTTAAATCAAAATTTAAATTTGAGTCAAAATTGGACTGCATGATAAAAACAGAATTTTACCTTCTTCCCTGCCTATTATTTGCTCCTACCACATGGAGGAATCTCCCTGTGGTGGCCAGCCATGTGGGATAAGAAAGAGAGTAGATTTTGTTTCCAAAATCAATTAGAAGTGAGAGATCATTATCAAACTTTATCTTGAAGATAAATATTAGACTTCTTCTGGAAGTCTGACTGCTACTCTATAAATAGGAGATTGCAGAAAATTAGATAACACAATTTTTACTCTCATTAGCATAGGTGGCCGAATTTTATAGAGTGATGGAAGGAAAAATTTTCTCCTAAATTTTACGTTGAGCATGTGTTGGTGTTCATGGAAAACTTAAGTGTTTTCTTACTAATTTTATTTTGTTTTAAGTGTGCTCACACACACGTCTTCGTAGATTCAAAGAATTGACGAGGAAGATTTGAGTATTCTAAACAAGCTTGGAGCAAGGAACGTTTGTAGTCAAAGAACTCAAGTTATCAACATAATCGTTCGCCAGGTAAATAAATTAATTTGATTAATTTATTCGTGCATAAATTAATGTAATCTATAGAGTATCTCAAAGTTTTGTGAAAGTTTTTGCTATACACGATTCACTAGATACACGCTTCCACATTGAAAATCGTTTTTAAAACTAACAGTCCCATAATGTAGGACCCACCTTTTATTAGCGATGATACTTAACACCTGTGACGCCCTTAAACAATTTT